TCCAACCCTCGGGACCCCCCTTCGCGGCGTCCGTCCTGCGGCGGCGTCTCCACAACCGCCGCGGCGCGGCCAGTCTTGAGATTTTCGATGGGCAGGCTAAGATGTCCCTTCGTTGAGGCGGCGATGTCCGGTAACCGACCCGTCTAGCCTACTTCGTGTGCCCGTCCTGGTTGCTCCGTATGATCCTCCCGATGTTTGTCCTCCAGGATGTGGCCGTCGCCATCGATAATCGCGTGTGGTATTGTCGCTAGTTTTGACTACGTACATGATTTTCTGTACCTCCTTTGCGTAATCTGGAGCCTGAGTGTGCCGGCTCGGAACCGGATCTGTGTGCTCGTTTTCGAGACCTTAGTAGCGATGGAGGATACCGTTCTGGACTCTCTACAGTCAAGGATTCCGCAAATGACTTTACTTAAAACCCGCCGCGGCGCCGGAAGGCACGGGACCTTGTCGCTGCCCGGCATTTCTCGTTTTTCTGTCTCCGGAATAACTCCGTCCGCTTACGCCCCGCGAACCGCCGTTAAACAGACCCTGGTACGAGCCCCCACCTACCTGATTGATAGACCTCGGGCTCCCCCTTTGGCATGGGCTGTAGCTCTGTCGTCTGTCTCTCCCCTCCTCCACGAGCCGCCATTTCCCTCTCCGTCCCCTCGGTTCCAGCGAACTACTGCTTTGCTTTCTTTTGCTTCTTTTTGCTTATCTTGAACTGCCGTAATCGTCTTCTCTCGTGGGGGGGGGGGGTCTTCAGATTTCATTCTTGTCTGCCTTCATGCTTCTTAGCATTTTGTTCCCTTTCTCTGTCTCAAGTTGAGAGTCTAAGATATCGTGTCTATTTGCGTCATGTTATTCTTTTCATTCTGGAGATTCTTTAGTCAGAATAAGGCTGTCTTAACTAACTCTTCTTGGCAGCCGGATAGTACATCGAATTTTGAGGACATAAGGACGGATCAGAAGCATTGTCCTCCCGAAGCCGTTCTGCTCGTAGATGTCGGGCCGGAGCGAGAACACGATGTGGCCGCCGGGACGAGTGACGCGCACCAGCTCGTCGAACGAACCGGGCGGAGCGTGCCCCACCGTGAAGACGCCCACGCTGATGACCCCATCGAAGGAGCCCGGCGGGAAGTCCAGCGGGGAACCCATCGCCATCCGGTGGAACTCCTTGTAAACATGTTTGCGGGCAGCCTCGTCCAGCATGCGTTGGGACAGGTCCATGGCTATCAGATACTCAAAGCCGACCTCGTGCAGCAACTCCCCCACGATGCCCGTGCCGGCGCCCGCGTCCAGGACACGGGCGTGCCTGGGCACCCGTTTGGCGAAGGCATCCACGGCCCTCCGCGGGCTCAGCCAGCCGAAGTCGGTGTCGAGGTCGCGGTCGTATGACCCCGCCCACTCGTCGTACCGCTCCTCCAGCTCGGTGTTGTTCTTTGCGGCGTAGACCCACTGGACCACGTTTGCCGGCTTTTTGCTCATGCAAGATGCCTTTCGTTTTTGAGTTTACCTACCGTCTTCCAGCTTGGCGTCCTTCGACTTCGCTTCGCTACGCTCAGGACGAACGGGGTGGGGCTGAACCGGCTCAGTGAGGCTGAACCGGCTCAGAATGAACGGAGCGCAGCTTTCCAAAACCGTTTGTCCTGAGCTCCGTTCACCCTGACCGGTTCACATCACCCCGTTCGTCCTGAGCGTAGCGAAGCGAAGTCGAAGGACGCCAGTTCTACGGCGTGGTCTCCGGCGCCCGCCGTGGTGCGTGGCCTGCTCGTACGCATAGGCAAGCTTGATCATGCGGCCGTCTTCATAGGGCCGTCCGAGGAAGCTGATGCCGGCGGGGAGGCCGTCCCGGGTGAATCCCGCGGGCACCGTCACCGTGGGCACGTATACCACGAACGTGTTCAGGTGCGGCGCGCCTTGTGGTTCACGTAGGGCGGCTTGACACCGTCGGCGATGAGCGTGGGCTGGTGTTCCACGGCCTTGTGGACGATGGCGTCGAGGCGGTGCTCGGCCATGGTCTTGAGCAGGTGGATCATGAGGTGGTCCCGGGCCAGCAGGTACTGGTAGTGGTCCGCGGGGTCGGCGGTGACTCGCAGGCGCACCTTGGCCTGATCCGAGAGCTTGGCGAACTCGGGCGATTGCATGGCCTCCTCGCGCGTCCGGTACGGCGGGTTGGCGCTCCGGGCCATGTAGATCCCGAAGGCCGTCTCCCCTGCGGTGGGGTTGGCGCAACGCGTGGCCAGCAACTCGTTGAGCCGCGCCAGCTCCACCGGGTCCACCACCTCGGCGCCGGCGGCGCGAAGCTCCTCCACCGCGTTGTCGAGGACCCCGGTGATGCTCTTGAAATCCTCCGCCTCGGGGTCGGTGTTGTACCCCATGGGTGTCCGCAGGATGCCGATCCGCGCTCCCCGCAGACCCTCCGCGTCCAGAAAATCCGTGTAGCTGGGCGGCGCGTGCCCGACTCCCCTGGAGGTGATAGGGTCGTCGCCGTCGTAGCCCACCATGACGTCCAGCAACACGGCCATGTCCCGAACCGTGCGGGCCATGGGACCCAGGGATCCCGCTTCCTGGGGCCAACCGGAGTAGACGCCGCTGCGGCTCACGAGCCCGGCCGTGGGGCGCATGCCGGCGATGCAGTTCCAGGTGGAGGGCCGGCGGATGGACGCCAGTCCCTCCTGGCCGATCCCCACAGTGCCGAAATTGGCGGAAACCGCGGCCCCGGACCCGCCCGACGACCCCCCCACGGTGCGCTCCAGGTCGTAGGGATTACGGGTGGACCCGAACAGCGAGCCGTGGGTGTCGCCCGCGCCCAGCTCGCCCAGGGTGGTCTTGGCCAGTACGATGGCGCCGGCCTCCTTGAGCTTCTCCACCACCCGGGAGTCCCGGTCCGGGTAGTAGTCCTTGAACACCAGGGAGCCCAGGGTGGTGGGCGTCCCCTTCAGGTCGGCCTGGTCCTTGATGAGCACCGGGATGCCGTGGAGCGGGCCTACCTTGCCCGAGGCCTTGAAGGCCGCATCCAGACGATCCGCTTCGTCCAGGGCCGCCGGGTTCACCGTGATGATGGAATTGATCCCGGGACCGCCCCGGTCATAGGCCTCGATGCGGTCGATGTACATCTGCACCAGTTGACGCGCCGTGAGGCGTCCGGCGGCATACGCGGCGTGGATGTCCTCGATGGTGGCTTCCTGCAGCGTGAACGAATCTGCGGCTGAGCTCATATGGTCCTCCCTTGGTACCCTTGTCAGAGTCTCGGTTTGAACCCTACCCCAACCCCAACTCCATGAACAGCACGCCTTCCACGGGATTTTCGGTGTAACCGGTGATCTCGTCGCAAGCCAATGCCCTACCGCTGCAAGGACTGCCGCCAGTTCTTCAGTGTGCGGAAGGGAACGGTGATGCAGTCGAGCAAGCCAGGCCCCCTAGTGTGGTGTCTCACAAATACGCTTACGAATCTGCGGGTCCTTTTGGCCGTCGGCTGCGTTGCTCTTCCTCGCGTGGTAACGGCCACACGGGCGGGTTTGAAACCCGCCCCTACAAGTCATCGCGCCTTGCCGACGACCAAAATGCCCTCGCATCTTCATAACCGTATTTGTGAGACACCACACTAGAAATGGGCCATAGCCGGCTGACAAGGGGATTCGTGGGGCGGCGGCTCAGGTATCGATGAGCCGAGCTAGCATGTGACGGACGTGATCCTGTCCACCAAAAAACACTGCCAGGATGCTTACGGTCTCCTTTTCTTCATTCACGTCAAACCAATAGATCGCACGGTTGATCGTCAGGTGTCGTAGTCCCGGCAGAAAATCGTCGTGACGTTCGCCTCGGTGCGGAGCAGTCAAAATGCGATCAGCGGTTGCACGAATTTCCAGAACCCGTGCTTCGGCATGTTCGATCGCACTCTCCACACTTTCGCCAAAGCCGATGTAGCTTTCTAGAAGATGGTCGAATATCAGCTCGAAATCGCGTTCGGCCTGAGCCGAAAACTCAAGACGAAACGCCATGGGTGCGGCGCTTCTCGGCGATCATCCTGCTCAGCCGATCGTCCATTTCTTCTGCTCCGACAAACTCGCTGGTCCGGCGGCGGGACAGGACTTCGTATAGCGCCCTGCGCTCCAGGTCTTCGACATCCAAACGTTGTCGCAGTAGATTAATGCCCTGCTGAATAACCGCGCTGACACTGGCATAACGCCCCGTATCGACCAATGCCTTGGCAAAGGCGTGCTGCTCATCTGTAAGAGAAATCGAGGACTTGATAGTCAAGAGGCACCCCCTAAACGGCAGGGTAGCACTCAGTAGCACCCGCGTCAAGAAGTGTCTCAGTTTGAACCCTACCCCAACCCCAACTCCATGAACAGCGCGCCTTCCAGGGGATTTTCGGTGTAACCGGTGATCTCGGTGAAACCCATCGAGCGATACAAAGCGATGGCCGCGTGCATGGAGGGAAGCGTGTCGAGCCGCACCGCGGCATAGCCCATCTCCCGCGCCGTTTGGACGATCTGCTCCGCACACTTTCTCCCCAGACCCTTGCCGCGAAAACCAGGGCGCAGAAAGAGGCGCTTCATCTCGCAGATTCCGCCGCCCAGATCCCTGAGGGCGACGCAGCCCGCGGTCCGCTCTCCCTGACGCAAGAGAAGAAATCTTCCCCCCGGCGAGCCGTAAACGCGGTCCAAAGTCTTCAGCTCCTCCTCGAACACCTGAAAGCACAGGTCCACTTCGATCTCGACCTCATACTCGCGCAGCAAGACCCTCGCCTCCCGGTAGTCTTCTTCTGTGGCTGCGGTGATGAACTCCGGCATCGATGTTGTCTCCTCCGAACTGAGACGCTACCAACCGTTTATGCCAATTGGTCAGAACTTTCCCAAACGTGTATCACTGTCTCGTTGCACATGGGTGCGTTCGTCGCATTCCTTCGTGACAAAACCTTCGTCACAGAAGAGTGCGCTCTCTGCCAATGGAGGACGATCATGGCTGAGGACCCCAGAAGCGGCTTCACCGAGGTACAGGGCATCCGGTTGCACTACCGGGAGTGGGGCGACCCCGGCGCCCCGGACCTGCTGCTGGTCCATGGCTGGACCAACTACAGCCTCGGCTGGGCGGGAGTGGCGGAGCATTTCGCCGGCCGTTACCACGTGGTGGCGCCGGACTTGCGGGGCCACGGCGAATCGGACAAGCCCCAGACCGGCTACCGCCTGCGCGACTTCGCCGAAGACGTCCACCAGTTCATCGCCAACCTCGGGCTCGAGCGCCCGGCCTACGCCGGCCATTCCTGGGGCGGCAACATCGGTACGATCCTGGCGTCGGACCATCCCGAGGACATCTCCCGGGCCTTCCTGGAAGACCCGGTGTACTGGCGCATGCAGCACGCCTTCGTGACCGCCCTGCCCGGTGGGCTGGCCCGGCTTAGCCGGCCCGAAGCCGAGATCCGCGCCGAGGCCCGGGAGCGCGGGCTCTCGCCGGAGCAGGAAGACTGGGAGGTCTACCGCAACCGCCACTTCTCGGCCCACGCCCTGACGCGGCTCCTGACTGACAACCGGGACTGGGCGCTGGCGTCCGAGGAGCGCCTGCGGCGCATCCAGGTGCCGACGCTGATCCTGGTAGGGGATGCCACGGCCTCACCGCAGCCCGGGGCCATCCTTGCCCAGGAGCTCGGCCATCTCCGGACCATCGCCTCGCCGCAGGTCGTATTCGAGTTCTGGGAAGGCGTCGGGCACATGATGCGCGGCACCCGGCCCGACGCGTATAACGAGCGTCTGGACCGATGGCTGGCCGGAAGTTGACGGCGACGACATCCGCATCGTCATTCCCGCTTTCCAGGCTGTGTCAAAGGCCGCTTTCGAGGCGCGAAAGGCCAATCCGTCATTCCCGCGAAAGCGGGAATCCAGGGGTCCTGGAGGGGTCCCTACGCGGCGTTCCCCCGCTCCACCCCACCTGGATTCCCGCTTTCGCGGGAATGACGATTTCGGGGGCCTGTGCCTCGCTGGGATGGCATTTTGACACAGCCTGATCAGCGGGGTTCCTTGCCCGACACGCCACTACCACCGACCCGGATATGGTCGAACCGGACCCTGCTCATCGCCGGGTTGAGCGGCCTGCTGGCGTCCCTCGACACCTCGGTCAACATCGCGTTCCCGGCCATCACCCGGGCGTTCGGCATCAACCTGATGTCGATCCAGTGGGTGGTGATCAGCTACGTGCTGACCTATGCCAGCCTGCTGCTGGGCTGCGGCCGGCTGGCCGACCTCTTCGGCCACTGGCGCATCCTGACGATCGGCCTTCTGACCAGCGCCGTGGCTTTCGTCGTGTGCGGCTCCGCCCAGACCTTCGCATGGCTGCTCATGGGGCGGATGCTCCAGGGCTTGGGGGTAGCGCTGGTGTTCGGCTCGGCCCCGGCGCTGGTGACCCTGTCCGTCGGCGGCGCCGAGCGTGGGCGGGCGCTGGGATTCTACCAGATGAACCTGGCGGTGGGGTTCGCCCTGGGTCCGCTGCTGGGCGGGGTGCTGGTGGACGCCTTCGGCTGGCGCGGGGTCTATCTCTACCGGGCGCTGCCGGCCCTGCTGATCGCGTGGTTCACCTCCGGCCATGCCCGGTCCGGGCAACGCACGGCCTCCAGCGAACGGTTCGACCTCCTGGGCGCCGTGACGCTGGCCCTGGGCGCCGCCGGTCTGCTGCTGGCCATGAGCCGGAGCCGCGATCTCGGCTGGACCGCACCGGAGGTGCTGGTCCTCGCGGTTGCCGGGGCCGTAAGCCTGGCGGTCTTCCTCGTGACCGAGAAACGGGTGGCCGCGCCCGTCATCAACATCGACCTGTTCCGCTGGCCCGCCTTCACCCTCGCCAACCTGCTCACGCTGATGGCCAACGGCACCCGTTTCCCCATCGGCCTGCTGGTTCCCTACTATGCCGTGAACATCCTGGGCTACCCGGCCACCCTGGGCGGGTTCCTGCTGTTCCCGGCCGCGGTGATGACCACCGTTGCCGCCGTGTTCGCCGGCCGCCTGTCCGACCGGATGGGAACCGCCGGCCTGAGCTCCGCGGGGCTGGCCATTCAGTCCGTGGGCCTGTGGCTCGCCAGCGGCCTGAACGCGGGCTCCGACTATCCCACCGCGGCCCTCGCCCTGGGGCTGGTGGGACTCGGCCTGGGCACGTTCCAGGTGCCCAACATGAGCTTCGTCATGGGAGCCATCCCCCGCGAGCACCAGGGCGTCGCCGGCAGCGTCAACCAGATGATGCGCACCTTCGGCATCGTCTTCGGCGTCACCGGAGCCAGCCTTCTGTTCGAGCGTTGGCGCGTCTTCCACGCCGGATCTCGGAGAGGTGGGCGCCTTCGTGGCCGCGTTTCAGAACGTGTTCCTGACCGCCGCCGGGCTGTGCGCCGTGGCCGCCGTGGCGTCGCTGTTCCGGCGCAGGGGACCCAAGCGGGGAGTCCAACACGGGGACACCAGGCAGTGATCTACACACACGCCGTAAGGGTAGACGGGAAGTTCAAGTCAACACCAGTTCCCAATGTGGCTTCTGGGGTCATGACAAACCAAGCACTTTCAGGACCGACGCCAGGCCCTCGTCGCGACGGCAAACGCGCCGCAGATCTTCCAGACCGAACCGCTGTCCCAAAGCGTAGGACGAGGCGGGCTTACGATACTCCGGCCATAGCCTGCGAAGTTCCGCCTCGACATTGTGTGCCGACAACTGACGGTTCTCACAGTCGGGATGAAGGCGGACCAGCAACCCCTCAAGGTTTGGTTTAAGGAAAACAAGACGCAGCCCTTCACTACGCGCGACGGTCTCGGGATTCCGACCATGCCGCTGGTCTCGACGCAAGCGGTCGGCGTCGAGCAGGATACATCCATCCACAAACCGGCCATGCCGCCTCGAACGTTCTCGATAGCGGACGACCGCATCTTCCACTATCTGACGGCTGTCCCCGCCACTGCCGAGGGAGATATCGAGGTGCACGGGCTGTCTCTGTTGATTGCACAACTGCTGCAACCAAGCGGCGAAAGCCCGTTCACTCTCGCCCTCGGTCCCAACGAAGATGCGCTTCCGGGAAGGAATGGACGGAAGGCGCGCCATGCGTCAACCGAACGTGGGAAGTCCACCCAGAACGCCGCTACGGTATCGCTTGTGAAGGTCTTCCGTACGACGGAGGCCCTGCACCTGCCTTGCGCCGTAGGCCCGGGTGGCGCCATCCTGGCCCTTCTCGACGATGAAAAGTTCCTCCTTCTCAAGCTCTTCGAGGACGGACAGGTTGTGGAGGGAGCAGATCAACTGCGCTCCTTGGGGATTGGTCTCAGGACGTTGAAACCACCGCAAGACTTCGGCGACCAACTCCGTATGGAATTCGGCATCCAGGGCGTCCATGATCGCGATGTGCCCGGTTTGGAGGGCATAGTCGAGTTGCGGGAACACATGCACGAGATGACGGGTACCGGTGGATTCCTGGGAGATGACGACGGGCACGTCCAGCCCCTGATGATCGCAAAGCAGTATCCACTGGCCGTCAGGCAACATTGCGGTCCTCATGGTCTTGATTCCGAGATCGAAACGCTGCAACCGGTCGGACAGCTTGTCGAGCAACGCCGGTTGGTCCCGGTAGAAACGCGTCACCGTTTCGGTATCAAGTCGCAATGGTAGATGGGCCGCTGATATTCCTTTGAACATTCCCGAGATCCTGAGCTATCAAGGGGAACGGAGCCACGCCCAGGCGCGCAAGGGTCGAGATTACCGACGCATTGGCAGGCACGGACGAGAGGCGGTCGTCACCGCGCCGTATTCCAAGGCCGCCGGCGACGTAGACCGGGCCGTCGCCACGCCGCTCCATCATGCGTCGAGGGCGCCCGTTGGGAAAGGTGTGGAGCGCTTCACCGGAAACCCTCACAGAGTTGAGGTCGGAACCATTTCGCTGTAGTTCCAGGGTATACCGGCACAGGGACGGCTCACCGGGGTCCGAGGAGAACCAGACCGCATCGAAATCTACCTCGATCCGCGTTGGGGCGACCTGCGACTCGGAAGAAAGAAACGGAAGGAAGTAAGGGATGTTTTGGGACGGGCCGAGATCGAACGAGCGATGTGCAAACTCGATAGTCTCGGTTATGGCCCGCATTAAAGTCGTTTTACCGGAGCCGTTAGGCCCTATGAAGGCGATCACGCTCGGAAGGCGATCACCGTTCCGCGAATGGGCTTGCCGGAAGCGCGGCAGGTCGGGGCAGGTGCGGGGAATACGGAAATCGAGTTGGACTTCTTCGCGGATGGATTGGAAGTTACTTATGCGAAAACGGTGAATCATCATAAATAATGACAGAAATTCGCGTCAAATTCAATTTAATATGGTCCACATTCAGGATTAGAGGCGGTTGCGGTGGAATCGAACCGCACACTCCGCGTTGACATCCCGGGCGCGAACACATAGCGTCCTGGAAATTCTTCACAAAGGAGACTGTCTTCCATGAATATCGAACGCATCAAACCGGGAGTCTGGAACACCCGCGCCGTGGTGCACGGCGATCTGGTGTTCCTGTCGGGCATGGTGGCCGACGACAAGTCCCTGTCCATGAAGGGCCAGACCGAGCAGGTGCTGGCCAAGATCGACGAGGTCCTGGCCGCCGCCGGCACCAGCAAGTCCCGCATCCTCACGTCCACCGTCTATCTCGCCGACATTGACGCCAAGGACGAGATGAACGAAGCCTGGATGGCCTGGATAGACAAGGACAACCTGCCGGCCCGCGCCGCCATCGGTGTCGCGCTCACGCCGGGCACCCAGGTGGAGATCATGGTCTGCGCGGCGAAGTAGGTACGGGCGACCGGTTCGTAAGAGCTGCAAGCGAGGCTGATTGGCTGTATCAGTCGTTTGCTGCGGACTGCTCCAGGCGCTCGGCCAACCAGAGCTTGATGATTGATTGGCGGGTGACTCCGAGTCTTCGTGCCTCTCGATCCAGGGACTCCACCATCCAGACCGGGAAATCCACGTTGACGCGTCTTTGTTCTCGGGCGGGACGCCGAGCGGCAGACAGGTCGAGGGCGGCGGTAATATCCTTGCCGGCGTCGAAGTCGGCGTCAAATTTCTTTGCCCTTCATATAAGGCGACCTCCTCTGCCCGAGCGCGGCGCACCGAAATGATGCGGATACGATCACCTCTGGGTGTGACTACCGCAGACCAATACCTCGTATCAATACAGCCGATAACGAGGAATCGTTTCTCGTCCGTGGTCCTTGCGGGTATCTCCACACAACCAGGATATGAAAGTGATTGTTGCCGGGAAAAAGTAGATAAAGTTGCTTTTAAAGGTTTAGTATTTGCTCTTTTAAGATTGATATGTGAATTTGTTATGATATAAAATGTAGGATGCATTGATGTGATATATATGATTCGTAATGATTATGACATTTTTGTGATGGGATTGATCTTTTTTTGCTTAATTGTATTTGAATATTGTGATATATATCTTAATGTTTGGTGTTGATTTTTTTGTTGATCTTGTGTTGATTACTTTTATGTTTGAAACTATTGATAAATGACTCTATGAATTTTCTCTTTAATGTATGTGATGATTGATGATATGTGTTATGAATGATGATGATGATAACTTGCATCTGTTGTACTGAAATTACTCTTTGATGTACTTTATTTTCGACTGATTGCTTTTGTTGTCTTTATGCTTTTGATGCTTTGTGTGCTTCTGATTTGGCGCTGCTATTTTGGATCTGATTGCTTTTTTGTTGTTGTGATTTTTTGTTGATTGTTGATTTGCCTGATGTGATGCTGACTGATTGTGCTCTTATTTCTGTATGTGGTTGTATATTATTTTGTAGGCTCTGTTGCTACCTGCCCATGGATGCTTACACTTATCTGCTGCCTGTCTGCTGACTGATCTGTGTTACCCCTGCTTTTTTTGTTCTTGATCTTGACTCTGTGTATGTTTTATCTTTTGATGTATTTGCTGTGTATCCTGTTGATTCTTTTTCCTGTTACGTGTGCTTCTGCAACATCTGTGATTCGATGCTGTGTTTCTGACCTCTTCTTTTCCTGATATTATTGTCTTCTGCTCTGTATCATTTGAACTGCTTATTTGTTGCTTGCTGCCTCTTGCTCCAGTTAATGCATCCTTCTGCACATGCTTGCTTTTTTTCTCTTTTTTCTGCGTGTCTGCTGCTTGTGCAACATTCTGTGCACTTGTCTGTGCTTGTTCGATGTGTATTGCTTTTCCTGACTTTTGCATTTGCTGTTGCTGACTCCCTCATGTGCATGCTTTCTGATTTATGTGTCATACTCTGTCCTTCATCTCCCTGCTGCTTGCTTGGTGGCTCATGCTTGCTTGTGATCGAACTCAAACGATGGCACGGTATAGAAATATACCCTTATAGATCAGGGCGCAAGTGGTCGCGGCCCTTTCGCCTCGGAGATCAGGGTGTGCGCAGCAAGGTAAGGGGTGCTTCGTCCGGCGCGATGTTTTTTTGTCTTCTGTTTGGATGATTCGCAAACATCTCCACTACTCGAGTCAGTCATTGGAGAGTTCACGGCCCGCGAGACGCAGTACCCCTCCATCAACTCGGCGGGATAGGGCTTCAGCAACTGCGACAGTGCAGCGGGGTCCGTGGTGACGGGATCGAGCCACCTGGCCTCGTCTTCGGGGAGCAGCATGACCGGCATCCGGTTGTGCACCGGTTCGAGGACGCTGTTGGGGCTCGTGGTGACGATGGTGAACGAATAGAGCGGCGAGCCGTCGGGCTGGAGCCAGCGGTCCCAGAGGCCGGCGAAGGCGAAGGGTTGTCCGCTCTTGAGCGTGAAGCGCATTGGCGTTCGGAAACGGCCCTCCCGGCGCCATTCGTAGAAGCCGTCGGCCGGCACCAGGCAGCGCCGCCGCGGCAGCAGGCCCCGGAAGGCGGGCCTTTGGGCGAGGGTCTCCGCCCGGGCGTTGATGATGGGCTTGGCGGCGTCCTTGGCGTGATAGGGCACGAGCCCCCAGCGCATCAGCCGAAGCGAGCGGGTATCCGGCGTCTTCGGGTTCACGCCCACCACCGGCGCGTCCTGGCTCGGCGCCAGTTGTACCGGGGCGCCAGCTCGAAATCCGGCTCGTCGATGCCGAACCGGTCCATGAGGTCCTGGAGCTTCGCCGTCTGCGTGTACCGGCCGCACATGCTTTCAGCCCGCAGCGGGATCGAGGCGGGCGCGCACCGCGTCCAGCAGGCTCCTCACAGGGGCCGCCGCTCCCGCCTCCGGCACCTCGCCGGACAGGACGGGTATCGCGTCGAGCGGCAGGCCGCCTGCCGCAGCCTGGCGATCGAGCAAAAACGAAGCCGCGGCTTCGGCGTCCTCGGGCTCCGGCGCTCCCTCGGCCACGGCCAGACATCCGGCGGCGAGCCGGGCCGCCTCCACCGCCGGCGCGCACGCTTCCTCGGCAAAGCCGCCGCCCTCGAGCAACACCGCGGCCTTGAGCTTGTGCTCCGCGCGTTCGGCCAGGGCCTTGGCGCGGAGCATGCGGCCAGCGCTCCCGTCGTCTTCCGGGCCGTCGGCGGGATACACCTCGCGGAGGTCCTCCGCCGGCATCGAGATCAACCCGGCTTCCGCCAGACGCCGCATCGACTCATAGGCGTCAGGGTCGATGACCTTGACGCTCAATCCCGTCGATTCGCCGAGGCGGCGTTCTTCCTCCGCCAGACGAGGCGGTGGAAGATTAAGCACGACCAGCGCGGCGCCCGTGCCTTCGCGCGCAAGGATTCTCTGCAACGCCGCTCCGTGACCGGCCACCAGAGCGTCGCGCAAGCGGTCGAGGGCCGTGACCGGAGGCTGCGCTCCGGGCGCGGTCTCCCCTGTCTCTCCTTCTTCCGGCCCGGCGCCGAGCACGGCCTGCAGCCGCTCCATGAACGCGGCCCGGCTGTTGGGCATGCGGATGTCCGTAAGATCGCCCTTGCGGTCGAGCACGCCTTCGGCCAGCGCCCGCTTCGCATCCAGCAGCCCGAGCATGCGGTGCTCGATGGTGTGCTCGCTCACCAGGTGGATGACGTTGACCGCGCGGGTCTGGTGCTTGCGCCAGGCGCGGGCGATGCGCTGCTCCAACCGGGCGGGATTCCACGGCTGGTCCATGTTGATGACCGTATCGGCCACCTGAAGGTTCAGTCCCACACCGCCGGACTCGGAGGAGATGAACAGCCGGCATTCGGGGTCCTTGCGGAACCGCTGGATCTCGGCGCGGCGCCTGGGTTGGGGCACACTGCCGGTGTGCCACGCGAACTCGATGCCGGCCTCCACCGCGTAGTCACGGACCAGCTCCAGCATCCGCACCCATTCGGAGAAGATGATGATCTTGCGTCCGGGATCGTCCAGCAAATCCGGCAAAAGCCCTTCTATCTCCTCCATCTTGGGACACGCGTGTGTTCTACCATCGAGGATGTAAGGGGTGTCGCAGACCATGCGCATGCAGGCGAGATTCCCCTGGAGCGACTTGAACTCCTCGGGCGTGAGCGGCCGTTTCGCGGCGATGGCGGCGAGCCGCTGCGCGAGGTGCTCGTAACCATCGTAGACGTCGAGCTGGGCCTCGGTCATGGGAACGAAGAAAGTCTTCGTCGTGCGCGCCGGAAGCTGACTCTCGACGTCTTCCTTCCGCCTGCGGAGCATCACCGACGACACCCGATCTGCCAGCGCCTCCAGGTTGCGGTAGCCCACGGGCCGGCCCTTTTCGTCCAACTCGTAGAACTCCCGGTTGAAGCGGAAGAGCGGGCCGAGGAGATCGGGATTCAGAAACTGGACGATCGAGTAGACTTCATCGATGCGGTTCTCGAGGGGGGTGCCGGTGAGGACGAAGGCGTAGCGGCTATCGAGCTTCTTGACCTCGTTCGCCGTCCGGGTCTGCCAGTTCTTGATGCGCTGGGCTTCGTCGAGGATCACGACATCGGGCCGGAACGTCTCGACCAGTTCCCGCCGGTCCACCACGACCTGCTCATAGTTGCAGAGCGTGAAGAAAACGCCTCGTTCGTAGGCCGCGCGGCGCGCCACGGGTCCCCCGAACACGACCGTGGCGGGGAGATCGGAGAAGATTGCGATCTGTTCCTCCCATTCGGCCTTGAGGGAGGCCGGCGACACCACCAGCACCCGCTCGATTCGCGCAGCTCGCGCAGCAGCGTGCAGGCCGCAATGGCCTGCACCGTCTTGCCGAGGCCCATGTCGTCTGCGAGCAGCGCGCGCTCTCCGAACGCAAGATGGAGGACCCCCTCCACCTGGTACGGCAGCAGCGGACGTTTGAGAAAGTCGAGGGAGCGGTGCCCCTCGTTGAGCTCCGCGGCAAAACGTGCGCGTTCCCGGCGTCTGCGCTCCGACGCCTGCCGGGCCTCGACCCAACCCTCCAGCAGACGTGAGACCCGGATGGCGCCGGAGTGGTCCGACGCCATCCGGCGAAGCCCGCCGAGCGCCTTCGGAGACCCGCGGCGCAGGCCGCGGAAGAGCCGCTCCGTTTCCGCCAAGACTTCCGGGGCGCAACTCATGGGTCCCTTCGGGAGGATCAGCCGGGGCGCCCGGCCGTTGCGCTCGTCGAGAAAGACCTCGATGCGGGCGCTCGACCGCCGGGTCGCCGCACCCCCGGAGCGGACACCGTCCGGGCGGCGCAGCACCCCCTCGATGTGCTTGCAGATGCCCAGACGGTTGGTGCGGTAGTCGTGGCACTCGCAGGAATTGATGCGTTGCCGGAGCGAGCGGATCTCGACCACATAGCGGCCGCCGCTGGACGAAGCGACCCGGTAGTCGCCGAAGGGATGGTGCTCCGGGTCGATGGCGCGAACCTCGTCGATCTCCGTCCGGCCGCGCCATTCTCGCCGCCGGATCTCGTCCTCGTCGGTGGACAGCCAGCCTCGAAACGTCGGCGGCCGTTCAGCAGCCTCCCGCCGGCGGCCAGGTGCAACCTTCTCCCGTGAACGTCTCATGAGGCTTTTCTTACCGATTCGTCCGTGGTCCGTGAAGTCCCTGCAATAATTTGCTTGTCTTTTTGCCGTCGGCTGCGTTGCTCTTCCTCGCGTGGTAACGGCCACACGGGCGGGTTTGAAACCCGCCCCTACAAGTCATCGCGCCTTGCCGGCAACAAAAAATCCTGCGCAACTTATTGCAGGAATTTGCGGGACGCGACACTGGCTGACACGATGACACGTTTGCTACCCGGCCCCGTTCCTGCCGCATCCGGCCCACCCGCGTTCTGTAGCGTGCGCCCGGACTGCTCGCCCGGCGCCGGCCCGGCAAGGTTGCCAAGGCCGGCCAACGGCGCTAATAGCATACTGATTCGACCAGGAGGACAGGACCGTGATCATCGACTGCGACACCCACATCATGCCCAGCGACGCCTTCGACGACATGCCCGAGGAATTCCGGGACAAGGCGCCGATCCCGCGGTACAGCGAGGAGGGGCTGCTCATCGACATCGACTTTCCCGGCGGGCCGCCCGAGGTGCCTGGGCGTCACGCCGCTGGGCGCGCCGGGGTCCGGCGCCAGCATGAAGGGGTTGGTGGATCTCCAGGTGCGGCTCGACGAGATGCCCGTGCTGGGGGTGGACCGGCAGTTCATCCTGCCGCAGTTCTCCGGCTGGTGGACCTACATGATCGAGCCGGCGCTGGCGTCGGCCATCGCGCGGTCGTACAACCTGTCCAACCTGCGCTTGATGGAGCACTACGGCGACCGCATCATCGGCGTGGCCCTGGTGCAACTCCAGGATGTGCCCGCGGCCATCCGCGAGATGGAGTGGGCGCAGAAGGAGGGGTTCTGCGCGGTGGTGCTGGACAAGGTCTACCCGGTTCAGGACCATCCCTACGGCGAGAGCCTGGGCAGCCACAAGGAGCTCTGGCCCTTCTTCGCCCGGGCCGAGGAGATGGAGATGCCCATCTACCTCCACAACATCCAGCACGGCCACCGCATCAGCAACCTGCCCAACTTCCAGAAGGACGGCCTCTACTTGTTCGCGCCCCAGGAGGGGCAGGTGAGTCTCGTGTCACTCGTCACCAGCGGCCTGCTCGACGACTTCCCCGGCCTCCAGTTCATCTTCACCGAGGCCGGGCACGGGTTTCATCAAGCCGCTGGTGGACAGGCTCGACGCGGCCTTCAACGGCCCTCCCGTGGACTACGACGGGGACGCCGATGCCGACGTCATGCGAGGGGTCAACGCCAAGCTGCGGCGTCACCGGGCGTTCTACGGACCCGAGGTGTTCCTGGAGAAGAACAAGAAACCGGCCAGCCACTACTTCCGCAACAACTTCTACTTCACCATCGAGACCGAGGAAGCCGCGCTGCCCGACGCCATCGAGTTCCTGGGACCCGAGCGCTTCCTCTTCGCCACCGACTACCCCCACGACGACCCCGGCGGCAGCATGAAGTTCCGGGACGTGCAGCTCCTGTCCATCAACCAGAACATCTCGGACGAGAACAAGGAGCTCATCCGCCACGGCAACGCCGAGCGGCTGTTCAAGCTGAACGGGTGAACACGCCCACAGCGGACCTATCATAGTATCTTTGCCGGGACTGGCCGGACCGTCCGGGGGACCAGCCGACTTCAACTTGGAAGCATTTCGGATGGGTGGGAGATAGGTCGCCGGCGCTCGTGATTTGCCTGTCGAGCTAAGGCAGTTCCACACCGTTGCCATGAGGCAGGCTGCGGTCGCGCCCGAGAGCTCCTCCGCTTGGGAGGCATCTATGGCCCGTCCCTACCGTGTCGGCGGCTCACCACAACGACAACGCGGCTTTGAGACCGGCGTCTACCGCGATCATGACCGTCGCCGGCAGTGTGCCGATACGGCGCGACAATTTTTCTCGATCAAGCGTCGTGACCTGGTGGCATAGCGCGGTACCGTCTCTTCTCAGCCCTGCAACACCTTTCGGCAAAGCGACGGCTGTCGGCCCGCGCTGCTGTTGGGCGAGGGAGGTTGACAGGGGGACGACAATGACGGAACGCCAGCCGCGTATCTGGTTGAACCCGTCATGAGAAACGACAACGACAGGACGCCGGCCCGTCTGCTCCGAGCCGGACCGAGGTGTCAGATTGGCCCAGTAGACCTCCCCGCGGTTCACGTGCCGCCTCGCTCGTTCTTGAGAAGCTGATCCACCGCGGCGCTTTCCAATTCCGGATCCAGATCGTCAGGGGTACCGGCAACCGCCTGGGCGTAGTCGGCAATGGCATGGTGCAGAGCCTCGTTTTCCCGATCGGCCAGCCACGCTTCAATAGCTTCACGGGCCAGAGTCGTCGCGGGCTGCCCAGAGCGTTTCGCCTCCGCCCTGAGACGCGTGTGGATACCCGTCGGAAGAGGAACATGCAAATTGTGAACGGACGTGCGCATGACATAAAATATGGCATGGAGTACTGGCCGATTCAATGACAGGTAC